TGCATCGTACCAGCACATAATGCCAGAGTTGTTATCGAATTTTTAAATACAAACTTTGGCAATTATTTGATACATTATGTTCCATCATAGTATGTATGGTTATCACCATAGCAACATTAACTTTTAAATACATACATTAGTTTTAGATAGAACAAAATGAATTTTTGTTAATTATTCAATAACTATAAGAAATATACCCCACAAACTATATATATTTGTTATCAGAAGAAAATAACAAATTATTTTAGGTCATAGCCAACTATGGTTTCCATTTAAAAAAATAAAGTTACGTCTAAAATCTCGAAAATAAAAGATGGGAAAAAAATTCTACCTACGCCATTGAATTCTTCGTAAAAAGTTGCCCATATAATGTTTTATTTATAATACTCCATTTTTGATAATAAGTGAGATATTCGCGATTGTCGTTTTTGCAAAATTTTCAATTTTTGCCGATTGGGCGAAAACAAAAGACGATAGCTGTTCGGAGTTTTCGGCATTAGCATTTTCTCAAAAAACGATATCATGACATGTAAGCTACTTTTTTTCTATCTCTTTTAGTTTCGGAGATAGCCTATGCGGACATCGAAATTGGGACACCCTGTACAGTGGTATATAACTTTAGTAGATCGCATGGTTGCACAAGGATTAGAACAGATATTAGAAATTTTCTATTTGAGGTGTATTAACATAAAAAATGTAATGACAGCTAAAAATGTAAGTGACATTACCGAGAAAATAAGTATCTCCGACAAAGAAATTCTTTTTATGGCTTAAGTTATCCAACGATTTCTATTTTTTTTTCTCCATAATATTGAGTCAGGGTTACTGATTGCGTAACCAACCATCGGGAATTACGATGCGGTTTTTGTGTTTATGACCACATAAAGATTATTATAACTAAAAAAGAACGAAATGGAAAAAAATAAAAAAACAAAGTCAAAGGGATCGTTGAAAGTCACCCACTTTCTTCTCTCAATTACACCTTTATAAATAAATTTTCATCATCGACCTAATTTTTTTTAGAATGAAACAATACATTTTTATCAAAGCCACTACAGTTTATTAATAAACTCAAATACGACAAAATCGTTCTTTTCAATAATACGCACTTATTCTAAATGATCACGACGAAATGAGGATTTCATTATAATTGAAAAGTAAATGTAATTTTTTTTAGTAAAATGGGTAATTGAGAAATGAAAAATTGCGAAGATGTTGACCTACATTCAGGCGACCTTTCACCAATTTACTCGAAAGAAACACTCAAAGAGGATGACGAACAAATAACCTTAAAATTTTCTATTAATTTATATCAATAGAAAAGGTTGTGCAATTAAAGTTTTAAAATGTTTCATTTTGCGCATTGTTTATTGTGTCTGCACGTGATTGTTTATTGTTTTGATGACAATATTATCTTATTTCATCACCTCAACTGAAACTTTAGTAATATTGGAACTCTTTTTGTTGTTCTTTATCCTTAATACATTTCAATTTCAATCAAAAATCTTAAAATATTTTTTATTTAATTCTTAAAATAAAATTTATTTATTTAGTATCGAAACTTTTAAAGCAAATATTGATTTATTTTTGGGAGTAATTTCAACACTCGAAAAAAGTCTCGATAGGAAATCACCTGTTTCACCAAATAAAAACCTAATTTCGATAAAACCAACCTAAATTTAGAATTAACGCGAGACCACTTCAACCGAAAAATTTTTATCCTTTTCGCTCAAAGTTCTCACCATACCATCAACGTTATTAACTTATTACTAAACGATTTCGAATTAATCGACGAAAAGAATTATATCGAGGAACTCGTTGAACTCTTAAGACTTTGATTCGCTGTGAATCAAAGAGGGAACTAAGTTTTGATCGTGGCCACGAAGAAACATTTTATTGCGTTTCATTTCTTTATTGTAAAAATGAATTTATCATTAATCTTGAATCTGTTTACAGTAAAAAAAATGATTAATCACACCACAAGTGTCTGGAATAATATTGTTTTGTTATATACAGCATTCTTCTAATGTTTATCATTTTGTTGAAGATCGCAAATCCAATTCAAATAATTAATTAATTAATCCAAGCCATGTTGTACAGAATGAGTTGGATAATTGTATCCTCTTTTGAAAGTTGCTTCGTTAGTTAAATCAGCATCCAAAAAAGTTCATTTTGTATCTTGGATCCAAATAAGTTGGCATATCCATAATTATATAAGTAATCGTACTTTCTCATCCAAAAACAACAGTAAACCTAATAAATTTAGAAAATAGTTAAAGACGCAATAATTCGAGCGTCATTTGTGACGTTGCCTCCTTTTCGTTTAGTAATAATAATTTTTGGCTACCTTTCGAAAATATTTCTAAGCATTCCGCAATACCTCCGTTCTACTTTTTGGCATTGTCACCTTCAATATTTTAAAAATATCTTTATAGGTGCACATTGCAGCAGTAAAATTAGCTCCCTTTCTTTTTTGAAAACCTTTTTTACTTAAATTGAACCCGGTGTATTTCTGTAAGTAATCAAGTGGAAAAGGTGAGGCGAAAAAAAGGTCGATCGATCGAAGAAATATTCTTGACGATTCTGACGTCAAAGTTTGTTGGGTGTTCGTAAAATATTCAAGGGAGTCCTTCAGCGTTTATTTTTGAAACAATAAGTTGAAAAAATAATTACGCAAAGAAAAAATAAAATTTCTAATTGAAATTTCTTGGAGTTTGTTTGACGTTTTTTTGAAAATAAAAAAATCTTGGCGTACACAGAGAAACTCATCATCTGGTTGTAAACGTGAAAACATCTAAACGAAAGTAATCAACGTCTCAAAATGTATTTTTAATAGCTCGTTGGGCCTTCAAGATGACTTTAACATGATTTTTTCGTTTTAGATCGGTGATTTAACGAGAATAAGGTTGGGTTTAATAATATTAAATTTTTTTTTTGGGTAATTTAAGTTAATTTAAACCAAAAATCTTTATGACCGATATTAACGGTCTTAAACCGCTTTGAACGGGAGATATTAATCGATGGAAAGACTGTTTGTTTTGGCACGGATAAGTTAGGATAATAAACTGTATTCTAGAAGCCTCGTTACCTACATATTTACACGTAATATTTTAATTTGGATGACCTTAAATCATTTTATAAAATATTAGTTTAATGTAATTTGTAAAAATTCTTTCTGTTATATTTAGATCTTTAAAAAATCATTCTAAACTTATTTTTAGGTGTAAAGAAATGATTTGTATCTTAAATTAAAGCTAAAAGATTTCTTTTTAAGATGATATATCACACATTGAATTTTATGAAAATTACTTCTAGATATAGCTTAAAAATTGGAAGCTTAAATTTTGACATTTTTAATAAATTATGTTATTTTAAAAAAATCATTCCGAACTTATTTCTAGGTGTAAAGAAATGATTCATATCTTAAATTAAAGCTAAAAGATTTCTTTTTAAGATGATATATCACGCATTCGATTTTATGAAAAATGCTTGGAGATATAGCTTAAAAATTAGAAGCTTCAATTTTGACATTTTTAATAAATTCAACGTCCTCTTTAAAAAATCATTCTAAACTTATCTCTAAGTATAAAGAAATGATTCATATCTTAAATTAAAGCTAAAAGATTTCTTTTTAAGATGATATATCACATATTGGATTTTATGAACATTTCTTGGAGATATAGTTTAAAAATTGCAAACTTAACTTTTATTATTTCTTGGTAAGACATTATTCTAATATGATTTATAAAACTTCCTTCTGTTATATAACTTAGATTCAGATAAGAATGTTGTAACAGGAATATTTGTATTTATACAAGTTAAGAAAAAAAGGAACGAATCGCCTACGGGTTAATATCGTAACTGTATACTATCTTAAACATTAATGCGGACAGAATTATGGAGTTTGAATTTTTTTAAATAATTTCTTTCAAAGTGAGGATACAAAGTGAATAACCTGCTTTTATGAAAATGAAAATAAAGGAAAAGAAAGAGGGTGCGTTTCTATATTTAGTTGAGGGAACCCTCTCAATTAAATACAGGTTCTCCGACATCGTCTGGAATATAAGAAAAAAGGGTCCTTTCAGGATCGGACTAAGAACTCTCAAAAAATTGTTAAAATAATTTTTTGTGAACAATTTTATTAAATCTCTACGAATTATTTTCATTAAGAGCTATTAGAATTAATGATTAATTTTTGAAAATTTAAAAGAATTTCTTTAAGATGATCCTGACCTGGTTGTGAACCGAACCGGATTGTTCCAGTGTTACTGGCGCCTGAATAAGGATGGAGGTATCGCTTTCTACCCTACACAAGAAAAAATAAACGAAAAAGGCCCATAAAAAAAGATGGGCAAAAAAGAAATTGCACGCTTTATTACCCTTATTGAGCTCGAACCGTTCTTACCTTTACATCCGGTGCGATGAACCCAAATTTATTCTTAACTAATCCATCTTGAAAGATTATTTTTATTTTCGATCATAATTAATTACGTAAACAAACACCGAGATTACTTAATCCAAAACGTATGGAATTTAATCCGCTTTAAGTCCAGGTTAATGAAGGATTTTTTATGGATTTTGCAACTTATCCCTTGAAAGAGATTTAATACGTTTTAAATAAAATAACCTTTGATCAAAAAATTAAATTAAAAATTTCTTTTAAGATTATTCAAGGTTTACGATTTCATTTGCATGTGAAGTTTTCAGGTTATTTTGTGGGTCAATGTGTTCTCGGATGAAAAAGAAAATAAACAAATTTGGAACGATTTTAACGACGATGATTACCTCGCTGAAAAAGAAATTTAAATAAAAGCTTTGTTGTAACAATAAAATTAATTATTTACGTTTTGATTACGAAACGTTTCTAAAAGATACACAACGATGATGACGAAAATCAAATCGAAACAAAGTTTTTGTTGTGTTGGTAGTTTTTAATCTTGAACACGTTCAGCGAAAAATAAACCGGCGATAAATGGTGATTAAATTTAACAAAAACTTACCTAAGTGGGATAAATCTGATAATTCCGAATCTGGAATATATAAAAAAATAAATTAATTAATTAACAAACAAATTTAATAATAACATTTTTCTTTAAAAAATTAAGAAAAATTGTTTAAAACAATACAATCTAATCTAATAAGGATATATTAACGTCAGAAATATATTTAAAAAGTAAATCACCGCGTTTGATGGACAAAATAAACAATAATTTTTAAAAAGGTGAATGATTGATCGAGTGCTTAATTGATCAAAGAAAAAATAAATAAATCTCCGACAACTCATTTTATATGAATAAAAATTATAGCAAAGTGTACAAAAATATAAATAACACGTGCCACGAAGACTATTTTTTTTTCGTCTAGGGTTAGATAAGGTGCGCAAATAAACATTATTTGATAAAACGCCCGTTATAAATAACAGATAGGAGTCTATATTTAGTAATTAGTAGGGTTGGGTTAGGTTAAAAATTAATTAACGACTGCAATAATTAAAACGTGGAGAACGATCACGCAACTTGGTTAACTTGTTTCATATATTAAATTAAACCTAAAACTTTCTTTGTTTAAATGATACATAATTCATTAAGATATCGGAAAAACTTTCGGAGATATAACTTAATAACGTTAAGTTTTAATAAATTCATAAAAATTTAACGTAAACTTTAAAAAATCATTCTGAACAAATTTCTAGGTATAAAGATATGATCTACATCTCAAATTAAAGCTAAAAGATTTCTTTTTAAGATGATATATCACACATTGGATTTTATGAAAATCGCTGGGAGATATAGCTTAAAAATTGGAAGCTTAAATGTTAACGTCTTTAATAAACTGAATGTAATTTTTAAAAAATCATCCTGAATTTATTTCTAAGTGTAAAGAAATAATCTATATCTCAAATTAATTCAACTTCTTAAGTTGAAGTTTAAAAATTTATTAAACAATGCATTTCTTTAAATATATTGAGTTAAATTTAAGAAAATTTTCCCCCATCAAAAGAGGAAAAAACCAATCAAGACGAATTTCTTTGTAAAATAAAGAAGTCCTTAAAGTAATTTACTTTATTACGATCCACTGTGTCAGAATAATTGTTCTTAATTGATAAATTGTCGACCGGTTAGCTTATTGCAGCAATAACGTGTCCATTTAAAATAAATTTAGATCTCAGCTGATTCAAATCTAAAAGGAACACGCACGTGACTAACCTCAAAAAAAACATTTTTTTGCTTATTTTTGTTGTACTATTTCTATTCTTAATTCTTATTAACCGACACCCCGGTCACATGTATGTAAATTTAGACCCACTTAGCCATCGTTGTCGTCGTAGTCGTTGAAAGAGAGAGAAGCCCAGACGTTCTCGATATTTTTGTCCCCAGACACAACACAACCCGATGCTAGATGCTCTCTTTCCCAGGCTTGAAGCAAGCTCAAAGCCCTTTATCTTTTAGACATTTGTCCCGATACTCAAACACCGGATGGACTGGCGGTAAAGAATTGGATTCAGACCGATCGTCTGGGGGCGATAAACGATAATAAAAAAAATGTTATTATGTTTTTGAGTAGGGGTTACAACGAGGTGATTTTTGGAATTGAAATTTTTGCGTTGTCCCGTTTTCTTGGCCCGGTAACAATTTGGAATTGGTTCAATACTGTGTCTCTAAAGAAAGAAACTTTAATGACGTTGGACAACACCTCTCTTTAGATCATTGAAGACAACACTTAAAAATTATTGCGTAAAATTTAATATTAAATTTATTCTAAAATAAAAAAAAATATAAATTTAAAAATGTTTATAGAAATCTTTTTATTTGATTCACAATGAATAGTTTCGAAATATTCACTTAGTGGCGCCATCTCCTGAAGGATTACTAAATTTTAATATTACGAGTCAAATATAGATGGCGCTCAACAAGACCTCTTTAATAAAATCATACACCGATACGAACTCCGAAGTTTTAGGCTCCATTTATAGATGGCGCAGATCATATAAAAACTGTTTTTATGTGGTTTAACGTTTGAATTATAGATGGCGCAAACTTAATTTAATTTTTGATAGCCATCTATCAGGAAGTAGTGAAGATTGTATAGACAGTACCCTATTATAATTTTGTTATAACAAAATAATTTAAAAAATATATGAATTTAACATACCCGTATCATTTAGAAGACTTTGAATGGAATCTTGACTAGATCCTTCGCTTTCTGTCGAAAGCGCTGTAACAAAAATTAAATAGAAAAATTAATTAATAGATAATAACCATTTTAAATCTTTAAATCAATGAATCACACACATCGCAAGATTTTTTCTTAACAACCTTTTATGTTAATTGCCTACGAGTTTCTCTTCGCGAGAGAGAGCATTACTAACTTTAACAATTTTGACCTGCCGGGTCAAGAAATTATACTTTTCGTGCTGATAGAATTTGTCGGGTGAGGAGAAAAGTTTTTTTTCTATGCCGTTACATTTCATTCTTTTTCTATCTTGGTGATAATTCATAGTTTGCTTTAGGTGAAGAGGAGAAAGTACTTTTTAACAAATTTCTCGTTTGAGTTGTTTCAAGGGAAAGGTTCTTTTTGTTTCACCACTAATTTTTTTATTAATACTTAAAAACTATATACTAACTTTAAAAATTTTTGGAAAATCAGTACTAATTTTTCACCAATTGTAAATTAAAGCACCAACTTTTCCAAGAAAAAGTCCGTTTTAAAAAATTACCTCTACTTCTTGAGATATGTACTTTTTAACTCAACCCTAATTTTTGGTATTTTTAAGTTTTTCTGTATTAAGTTTAAAAATTTGGGAAAAATCGATTTCTTGGAAAATCATTATCAAATTTTCACCAATTATAAATCAAAACATCTACTTTTCAATGATCATTTTTAATTCCTGAGGTATTGAATTTGTGAATTGATTCCAACAATTTGTAATAAACGGTTTTTATTTGTTGTTGTCATTTTTGCGCAACAAACATCGCTGTAAAGGTTTTACAAGGTGGAAAATAACCCATAAATAATTGATAACCGATTTGTAAAACATAATAAGCGTTATCTATGAATATTCAGTCGTTTCACGTTTTAGCATTAAAATTTCTAATAAAATTAATCAAAAATTTGTAACGAATAAAACTTTAGAAATACATTTTTAGATAGTTTACTGTGTATTTTCATTTCGCAATCCTTATCAGATTTTAAAATAGTTATGTCTAAACGATAAAATCGACTGACTAATTTACGTCAATATCATTTTTAATCTAGATTTTAAAATAAAATTTAATTTTTTTTAAATTGAAAGTTCACTGATTATGAAAAAAATCTCTGTTGGGGTTCACTTTCCCTATCTTTAGATTTTATTTCTATATATTGTTTTCTTATAATTGAATTAAGGTAAAAAATTAAATAGATTAGAATAAAATTTCAAGGAAAAAATTATCATAACTTTTAACGTCGTTAGAATAAAAATTATGTTTATTATTTGTTTAAGGTTTAAGGTGAGAGACCTTAAAAAGCACGTCATAAAATTAAACATTCATTCTAATGTAATTTTCAAGTACATTTTATTTATTTAGTATGTTTAAATACATACATCAGTATTTTGAAGGTTACCGAATTATATTTTTGGCACACAAAAATTAAATGTGAAAACAAAAACAATCAAATTGAAAATTAGCAACATCGAATTTACAATAAATATTAACGTTTAATTCATACCTTGTTTTTTGAAAGGCCACATAATATTTTTTCGTTCTGAAACTAAAACGATCAAAACACTTTTTAAAATGTTAAAAAATGTAGAATTATTTTAACAATAACAGAAACGAAAGAAAACAACAAACGCGCAGCGACACTTTCAAAACTGAGGAACACACTGACACACTCACATCAACACCTACACTCAACAATTAATAATAGCGACCGTAATTATTTATTAAGTTAGAGATAATCAGATAAAGTGGTTTGAAACGAGTACGTCGTTTTTGCAACATTTAATTTTTTATTTTGAGTGGAAATGAGCTAAAAGAGTTTCAGTAAAAAACTAATTAATAAAAAGAATTTTTTAAATTTGCATTATTTAATTTAACATTTAAAAAAATTAATAAGGAATTTTATTTTGAATTAATAAACGAAGATAACGTCTCCGAATCGGACACTAAATCTTTTATTATGTATTTACGATTAAGGATTAAACTTAATTGACACTTTCTTTTCGATCGTATCTACATCTTTATCAGATACGAGTTAAATTCGCGTATTTATCGCAAATTGTATTGAGATATTTTATAGATGGAAAGGTTAAGAATTAAATTATCTTTGTTTTTAAATTTAAAATTTCCAAAAATATCTCGATTTTTAATTATCTTATTCTAGTTCTCTAATAAGCAACGTGATTTGAAAGTAGGAAGTTGTTTCCTACGCGTTAATTTTAAGGTCAACACTTCATTTTAAAAGATTTAATTTTAAAAAATTATAAAAATCGTTTTCTTAAACGAATTAAAATTAAAATTGTTTTACTATTGATTCGGCATTGAAATGAAAAACAATCTCGTTTTAATGGTGTTTTTAATAAAAATTATGATTTCGTTCGCATTTCGCGCTCCGTTACATTTTAAAATTGCGGATAATTTCCGCTCGTGTATCCGAAAAGATGCTTCTATTATTATTCTTTTTAATCGGGATAATTGCAAATAATAGCTTTTTCACAGGAAATGTTTTGCATTGTTTTTATGACCTCCACAAAGCAAGGATAACAATCAAATTTTTTTAAAAACCTTTTTTTAAGAAAATAAAGTTAATAAAGCTCTCTTCCACATCGGGAACTTTATGACCTCCTCATAAAGCCAACGTAGAAAACCTATAAAACAGTTCGTTTCCTTACATATACATCATTTACCCGTCGAGCTTTTAATTTATTCTCGGATGTTTATTAGTTACAGAACTTCGTTAACCGGATATTAACAATTTTAACGGTTACAATTTTTTGCAAGTTTTAAAATTGTTAGCGTACTTTCGTTCATTTGCTAAAAGAAAGTTAACTTAGATGATGTGAATAATAAAAAGTTAGAATTATTACCTATACAATATAATCGTGACTTTAATACTAAATAATAGGATAAAGTTGAAATTGAAAAGAGTTCAAAGAAAACCGACAACATTGACGTCATCGACTGTAATAGTTATCTAAATTAACGTTAAATTGTATAAAAAGTTTTGAAAAAGGTAATGATGTGGAATTAAAACTAAAATGTGAATATCATGGAGTAATAAAGATATGATTACTCGTACTTCACAGAAAAAATTAATATGATAAACAATTTCAATTTCGATCTAATTCAAAAATTAATATTTTAAGAAGTAAAAGTGATTTTTTAAAACGGACTTTTTCATTGAAAAGAAGATGCTTTAGTTTATGATTGGTGAAAATTACATAATGATTTTTCAAGAAATCGATTTTTCCCAAATTTTTAAAGTTAATACAGCGAAACTCAAAATTACCAAAAAATGGGGTTGAGTTAAAAATTATATATCTCAAAAAATAAATGTTTTATTCCAAAACGGACTTTTCCATTGAAAAGTAGATGCTTTAATTTATAATTGGTAAAAAATTCATAATGATTTTCCAAGAAATCGATTTATCCCAAATTTTTAAAGTTAATATAGAGAAACTCAAAATTACCAAAAAATGGGGTTGAGTTAAAAATTATATATCTCAAAAAATAAATGTTTTATTCCAAAACGGACTTTTCCATTGAAAAGTAGATGCTTTAATTTATAATTGGTAAAAAATTCATAATGATTTTCCCAAGAAATCGATTTTTTCCAAATTTTTAAAGTTAGTATAGAGAAACTTAAAATTACCAAACATGGTGGATGAGTTAAAAAATTTTATCTCAAAAACTAAACGTGATTTTTCAAAACGGACTTTTTCATTGAAAAGTAGATGCTTTAATTCATGAACTTACCATGATAAATAACTTTAAGATGTTAAAAAGTTTATAAAAAAAAATAAATTTAAATTGCTAAGATAATGTCCAAAGTCTCATAACGATTCTCAATGCTCACTCACGTTTCCGGGAATTCCGATTACAAATTAACTAATTACATCTTGTACTTTGGAATCCGTTATTACACCTTTACGCGTTTTCTTTTTTCTTGCACAAAACATTTACTTTCTTAACTTCGTCGTTTGAACGAAGATGATTTTGCTTACCCAGATTTTTTTTTTTAATTTAAACGAAAGTGCGTTGAAAGTGCTTTAGTTTATTAAAAGAGAACGCGCCTTTTGGGTTAATTGGTTTGTTAGACGTTTAAAAACATCATTTTTATTCGCTTCTATGTATTTTTTTTGGTAGTAAGTTAGTGGAGCAAAAGAAGTAAAAGTCCGTTTTAACATTGATCCAATTTGCAACGGTGCATTTTTGTTGTCTCCTTTATCTTTGTATTACATCGGTTGTGCTTTTAAAATTTCCTTGACATTAGATGGTGGTAACAAGAAATTGTTTGCAACAATTGTTCTAATTTCTATCTTCTATAAGAAGAATTTAGAGATTTAATTTTTTTGTTGACAATTTTTTTGAGACAAGGTTAAAACAGAAATTATGTAATTATGCGAGTTGTTTTTTATTATTTAATTTCATTATTGAAATTTAGATGCTTTATAAAGAGTTGTTGGGATACCTTGCAAAAAATAATTTAAACGACACTCCCTGACCTAGTAACCTTTCCACGATGACCGTTATAAATAACAAAAAGACCTCTTCGACGACGTTAATTTCGCGCCGGTGCTAAATTTTCGGCGCATTTTCAAAATACCGACGTCTTTTTGACGTCGTCGATGCTGACGTCGTCGTCTTATTCGTGCCAAGGATTAATTGAACACGAGGGAAACATATTAATTACCCCACTTATCGATGAAGAATCATATTTATATTTTTATTCATTCAAAATACTTCCTAAATAGAACCAAATTTTAACAAGAAAGTGATTTGTTAACGTTAAAAATTGTTTGTAAGGTCGCTTTTTACACTTTTATTAATAAGTAAAAAATTAACGAAACCCATAAATAATTAGCTTTTATATTTTATTCCAAAGCCAAAGCCAGGAAGTGACCGGACAACACACAAAGGTATTAATTTGTGTTGTCCGTTGCGGTTCGTGCGTTAATTGCAAATCATACACACCGAAAGCCTTGAACAATTTCCTCAAATATGGAAGATTGA